AAAGAAAGAAAGAAAGAAAGAAAGAAAGAAAGAAAGAAAGAAAGAAAGAAAGAAAACATTTATACAGCCACTTATCTTGTACCAAACTCTGGGCGGCTCACAACCAAAAACTAAACATCTATCTACAATGAAAAATATTAAAACCAAAAGACCTGGCACCACAGCTAAACTTTCCCATGCAGCCCAAACAAGTTCATCATCAACAAGTGCTTGGGGAAAAGCCAGGTCTTGAGTGCTTTTTGGAAGGTTGAAAGGGTGGGGGCCTGCCAAATTTCAGGGGGAAGGGAGTTCCATAGGGTAGAGGCTGCCACGGAAAAGGCACGCTTGCTAGGTCCCATAAGATGGCAATATTTAATGGAGGGGGCTAGGAGCATGCCCACCCTATCTGATCTGGTACATGTCCTTAGGTAGAGGTGGTCCCGTGCCATATGTACTAGAACAGAGTTTCTCAACCCTGGCAACTTTAAGACGTGCAGACTTCAACTCCTAGAATTCCCTAGTCAGCATGCTGGCTGGGGAATTCTGGGAGCTGAAGTCCACATGTCTTAAAGTTGCCAAGGGTGAGAAACCCTGTACTAGAATATGCTTGCAATGAATGGCAAATGATTCCTCTCTTTCATTACTTTTTGACCTTGTCACTTTTCACCCAGCTTTTACCCACTTCTTAGAGTCCAGCCTCGAAATTAAATCAAAAGGAAAAATATAGATTGCAACCTGAAAAAGGTGGGCCACGCCTGTTGTAGGCAAATTACATGCATGCTATATCTTTGAACAATGCATCTCCCCAAATTAAAGGGGATTGCTCAGATCAGAAATTGCTACTCTTCATTCCAATATATTTACATTTGTAGCAGTGCTTGGGGAATTCCCAGTGCTTGGAGAAATGGGCAGTTTGTGTTCATATGTAAACTGAAGCTGAAAAAAGACAATCTACTGTCTGGATTTATTTAATTTTCTATAGTTTTAATCACTACCAGCAATAGTAATCTAGAGGATTATGAACTGAATACCACAAAGACAATACAATATAATTGTATACAATAATAATTATTGTATACAATAATACAATGTAATATAATTGGGAACTGGAGACATTCTTAGATGGTTCCACTATGATTGATAGTCTGCTCTCTCCATGGGGGATGTATATTTTAAAATTTTTGATAATATTTTTATTTTAATAATTACTTTTTATCTTTTTTATAACGATTGTTTTTTGTATCTAGTTGCTGTTTTATTTTATTGTTGTACGCCGCCCAGAGTCACTTTGTATGAGATAGGCAGCTATATAAATGTGACTAATAAATTGATCAAATAAATAAATAGATATGATAGAAGAATGAGGATGCAGTAGCATCACTTAGGAAATGTGCATCCACGAAGGTTGATTCAACATAAACTAGACCCTTGCCTGTTCCAGGTTTTATGACATTACTATCAGCACAATTTGGGCACTTTGCTAATTTGCCCCTTTTCTTCCACCAGATTTGGAATGTAAGAAATTGCCAGGAAATTGCCAGGAGCCATTGATTTTGGGAGGGTGCTCCATATGAAAGTGAGGAAGGATTCCCCCACCCCACCCCATTCCCCAATACCTCCCAAAATACCCCAGATGTTTGATTTGTACATCAAGGATTGAATCTAATGATAGACCCAGAAGCCACTATGGGAAGGGTAAAGCAACTATTGAATACACCTCTTCTGCAATGTAATCTACTCTGGTTTATCCATAAGTAGAAAAAATGCACAAATAATCCAGGGAATAAATGGCTGAACAAGATTATTTAAAGTTGAACCAAAGTATCTGAGGTTTTTGTAACTTGTACTCTAAAAATAAGTTTTCACAAGGCTGGATAAAGATACTAGTATTGCATGTAGTCTTTACACAGAAGTGGATTATAGTGGTACCAGAGTGCTTCATTAGTTGCAAATTTGCATTCTTGAGCATGACACAACTCCAAAATCATATTTAACCCACAATGAAGGCTTCTATATTACTTTTTTTCCCCTCTACTTGAACAGAATCAGGTTTTTCTCAGGAAAACTTTCCATTTCTGGGATCAGTCAAGTCCAAATATCCCTCAGGGCTCTGTCCTACTTGGAAAGGAGTTACTTTGTGATATCAGAATCAACTAGTATTTTTCCAACTCCTTTCTCCACAACTCCTGCATTTATTTCATTTTCACCCTCTGCAGAGTTAAGTCATGGAAGGAATCTTAATTTTCTCTCCCTGGTTACATTTAAATATGTGCTGATACTTCCTCCCCCATTCCTACTTCTGCTGTATTTTGTTATTGGAAAAGAAAGTAGGAATAGCATCCCATGTCATTGTCTAAGATTGTTTGCATGCTTTCCTAGCAGAGGTTATGGTTCAGTGAAACAACAAATTAGTATGAGAGTCCATTTCGTACTTCTATTAGTGTTGCATTTACAGTTGGATTATTTGAGGTGAGGATAGTAACTAGGTTTTCTTCTTGTTGCTACTGTCCAGCCCAGTGTTTCTCAACCTTAGCAACTTTAAGATGTGTGGACTTCAACTCCCAGGATTCCCCAGCCTGCATGTGTTTTAATTTGGCTTGCTGGGGAGTTCCGGGAGCTGAAGTCTCCATATCTTAAAGTTACTGAGGTTGAGAAACACTGGTACAGCCAAATGGCTTTGTTTGGAAAACAACCAACTTGAGAAGGATATATTATGGAGGGAAGGAATCACCCGGAAGTCATTTGTTTTTTATGCTTATCGTAGTTAGGGTTGGATACCCTCTGAAGACATTCAGGTAGAAGGAACTTGTACTCTAACATAAGAACTGCAAGCTGTTACATTCAATGCAATATTATAGCTGTATGAAACTTTACTGTGTGGCAAATGGCTCCAAGATATGTATCCTAAACAGTTCAAAAATTTAGCTTCTTTAGGCATATTATATCTATTGCAGCAAGTTCATAGACAATAAAGGCTTTTTTTAATATCAAATTTATATTCACTTTACTGTTTCTACTACCTGGCTGGGAACTATTGATAAATAATACCTCAGAGGAGTAAACATCTCTCATTCAGAGAAGTATGATCTATTTATTCATCCCATTCTGGCAGATTTAGATCCCATAGGCATGAATATCTCATTTTACTATGATGTCATATCCTATAAACAGTTCTCCTATTGGAGGCCATAAATATCAGTAGCTGTTAGAAATAATTCCTTGGATGTTGATAGACTCATACTGAGAAATGAGATGCAGCAAAAGACAGCAGAAACTGCTTTTAAACTATGAAAACACGGCAAGAATTACTGAGAAGATGCATTTACAGAAAAGGCAACTGATAAGAGAATAAAGAGGGCAGCAGAACATTATGTCCAGTTTTGTATTTAATACATCTACCATCAATGTTTTGAATGTAATACTATTGAAATACAACTTATTATATAGCATTGTGTGTGTATCAGGGTGCATAAACTGAGAAATAGAAGTTTACAGGCTCTGAACAGTTCTCTTGGTGGCTTAGCAATATATAAATATTAAAACCTGCAACTTCAAGGCTATGGATAGCTCCGCAGAAACTTGGGTGTGGTCTATAGAGTCCCTCCAAAAATTTCTACAAATTTTTATTTTTCATTGATGGGTAGATTTTAAATATATGGGAAGTTATCCAGTTACCTGAATGTAATCAATGTAATCAAATTTAGTTTTTGTCTATGTTCCCATTCTGTTGGAGCACAGGGCCTAGAATATTGTTCAAAGTCCAAGTGCAGCCCTCAGACAAAAAAGACACAGAATACACACACACACACACACATATATATTCAGAGCCTGTAAACATTTCTTTCTCAGTTTATGCACCCTAATATACACAGAATGCTATACATTTATTTCCTTTCTTGTCTAAATTCTCTACACACACACACACACACACACACACACCAGGAAATGAAAAGGGTATATCAAGAGTGACCAAATAGTGGGTAAAGGAAGAAGGAAGATTGGGACTGGACATAATCCATCTGACTGGGAATATGCAAGGAGACTAGGGCCAAGCTGAAGAAAGATTGGGGATGAAATCATATAGGGGACAAATAAGAACAGTAAGAATCTTACCGTTTTATTTAAATTCCTCTGTTCTCTCTTTCTGTGAAATTGTTGGTGTTTTGTGAATGTCTTCCACTGTAACTGTGATTGCCCAAATAATTTCATAGGTTATATCATCCTTTGAGAAAGTACAGTCAGAGAAAGTATGAAGACCTTTACTCATGTTTCCAGTTGTAAAGAACTACCATAGGAGAGAAATAAATACTCTCACATCACTTTTCCCTTTACTTTTCCATTGTGTTAATACAAACAATAAAGCTAAATTAATATTTTATTTATTTTATTTATTTTATAAATCAAATTTATATCACTGCCCAACTCCCCCACAAGGAGGGATTCTGGGTGGTTCACAACCAAGCAGTTAAAACCAGTAAAAACATAAATAGTACAGCATAAAATACAATTATTAAATATGATAAAATCCAAGTGATGGTGGTATTGTTGTAGCCTGGGACCAGATAATATTGGTCAGGCAGGACTAGGGAACCAGCCATCCACAAGACTGACCATTCTCCTAGAGCCATAGAAAGGGCTCAAAGTAATCTCAGGAGTATCTGGCCAAATGTCCTACTATGGAATTACAACATGACCTACAGAGAGACAATGAATAGAGATACATCAAGTGATGGTATTCATTCAAATTGTTCAAATAAACCTGAAATTGAAAACAACCAGCATAAGAATTGCTTTATGGTTCAAGCCAAAGCTTCTCATAGATTGCCATTTCATTTTTCAATGTCCATCCAAATGCTGTTGGTGCTTGGAGGCATATCCTTCTCCTGCCATTTCCCCTCTGCAATTGGTATTTGGAGGCATGCTCGAATTGAACCTTCAAGACTGATAGGCTTTGATTCATCTATCTTCCATGAATTTATCCAATCCTCTTTAAAAGGCATCCAAATTAGTGACCATCACCATTATCTTGTTGAAATGAATTGTGCAGGTTACTGCATTAGGTGAAGAAATATTTTCTTTTGTCTGCTCTAAATCTCCTTCCTTCCTTTTCATGAACTTCACTGGATGACAATTGATCCTAGAGTTTTGGAAAAAAGGAAAAAAAAAAACTTTGCCCTATTTATTTCCATGTTTTTATACACTTGATCAGTTGCTTTTTTTTCTAAGCTATAAGAGTCCCAGTATTTCTACCAATCTCTCATAGAGAGGACATTCAAGACTTCTGATTATTTTGTTTGCCCTCTTCTGCACTTTTTTTGCTCTATTAATATTACTTTTCAAATGCAGCAACCAGAACTATTCACGGTATTCCAGCAGTGATGTATCAAAGATTTGTACAGGAAAATAGCAATGTTGGCAATTTAATTCTGGACCCCTTCCCTAATGATCACTAACATGAACTATGCCTTTTTCACACACCAAGTTGATATCATCACTGAGTTATCTTACCAAGTTTTTTTTTTCTTAGATAGAGAGCTCAGACACACATCTTTGTATATTTTTGACCCCATATGTATCACTTTACACTTATTTAAACTGAAGCACATTTGCCATTTGGTTTATCATTCACCCAGTTTAAAGAAAGCATTCTGGAGTTTTTCATAAGCCTTTTTGTTTTCAATGTCTTGAATAGTTTGGTATCATTTGTGAACTTAGATTTTTTTTAAAGTAAAATCATTCATGAATAAGTAAAAAAAAATACCTGTTGCCACACAGATGCTTGAGGAGCTTCACTTCTTACTTCCATCCTTTGTCTTCTGAGAAATTGCCTATTTATTCCTACTTCTTCCTTTCTTTTACCCAGATAGCAATCCATAAAAGGACAAGTTTACTAAAAGCTCTTAGTGATGAACTTTGTCTGTGGCTTTTTGAAAATCCAAGTATGTAACATTGACAGGGTCACCTCCATCAGCATTCCTGCTGACCCTGTCAAAAACTCAAACTAGGTGATACAGGAGTTATTTTTGCAGAATCTAGGCTGATTTTTCTTCAGCAAGGTTTGTACTCCGTTTGCTTAATTTTTTTCCTTTTATTAATTTTTCCACCTGTTCAACTTGAGCAGATGTTAAGGTGTCCCACTGATTACTTCTGGGATCTCTGCAATGTCCCTTTCCCACTTTTAACCAACCTCTGCTTTCAGTTTGGCTACACAGATCTCTTACTTTCAGAATCCAAATGTGACTGTTGAGAACATGAAGATGGAGATAGAAACAAAATCCATCAGTTGATTCAACATAAATCATTCTACAGTATAGGGGCCCTGTAGCATCTTTTTTTTTCATGTAAGCTTTGATTTCCAGATGAATGAATAATTCCTCCAAACCTAAACTCATTTTCTCTAGAAAATGACTAGAAAGTTCATTATTGTGATTCTCCCTAAGACTATGT